CAATCTGGATGTACTCATCAGCAAAATGCTATCAAACATGTTAACTAGACGAAAAACAGTAGACGGAATCGTTAGGTACCTACATATGATGTGCAAGGCCATATCAATCGAACATACATTGAACTTTACACTGATGATTCCCTTTTTCTTCTTTTCTCCCTAACATGTTAACCTTAACAGGTGTCCGCTAATCGGATAAACCCCTCTGCGTTTTTCTGTTATTGGTTTTCACTGATGATTTCTTAACAGACAAAAAAGTTTTGGTAATGAAATCAATTTTCCTCATATTTAAATTTTATTGCAACATAAAATTAAACAGTGTCGGCCAAATTAAAAAGTCTCAGGTGCAATGATTTTTGCCTGCTTTGCAAGTTCTTCCAGGAAAGAAGGCAAAACTGCTGCACTGGCTCGAGCGAGCGATCGAAGACGCCGAGTGACGGCCAAAAATCTTCTAGGCAAAGATTATGGCCTTGCTTCGGACTGGCTTTTTTTGCCTATGCACAAACGCTGACGCAAGATCGTTAACGCTGGAAACGATGTGCAAAGCTGCTGACTCGTGACCCAAATGAACAGGCGCTTCAATGAATGAACGAACGAACGAATGAATGAATGAATGAGTGAGTGAATGAATGAGTGAATGACCGATTGACTGAATGCCTAGTTCGACTATGGAACCAAAACAGCGAGAGAGCAGCAATCAAAATAACTGCAGTTATTGAACTTGAACCTCCTCCAACGTGCGGTTAGACTCATTGAGGCTCTAAATGATTTCCGTATTTTAGCGGACACAACCACACATTCCTGAAAAATGACCGCAATGATGTTCACTTGTACGTTCCTGCTGATTTCGCTGCCAGTCGTTAGACCAGATGCATCTGAAAAACAACTCTTGAGAGACCTGTTTCGCACCTATTATCGTTTAGAGCGACCAGTGGCGGAAACGTCAGAAGCCGTGATCGTCACGTTGAGTGTTCGGTTACGTCAGATCGTAGACGTGGTAAGTGTTTCGAGAAAACAAGCTGGAATATTTTGTTGTAAGTGCCGCAGCCCAGGTTTCTCGACATTAGTTGTTGCTAAACCTGCGTAAACGTTTCATTTGCAGTCACCAAAAGCTTCTATTACAATTTGTGCTTTTGATTCTTTAATAATTTCGCTCCACGGTGAAAAATGTCCATTACATTCCACTATGTATGCTGATGGTCATTAACTATTCTCAAAAAATAACGCATATTTAGGATGAAAATTCATAAGGTTCCGTAAACAAGCATTCACCGAAACCCTGTAGCACTAACATAACATTCTGATCAACTGAATGATCTTAACTATATAACAATTTGATTTTCAGGATGAAATGAACCAAATGCTCATCACCAGCCTTGATTTGAACTTTGTATTTATTACACAGTATATCAATCGTTTATTAAAGTATGAAAATGTACATTAAGAAGTGGAAAGACAGAAACATGAAATGGACTCCGTCTGAGTATGGTGGAATTCGAGACATCAGTATTCCAGCTGAAAAAATTTGGAAACCGGACATTCTCCTGTACAACAAGTAAAATAGCATTGCATATGCCAGTGATGCAAAAGTTTGTGCACCAGCACCACTTTTAAGTGTCGATCAGAAATTTGATTCAGCGAACGCCGTAAACGCTGTCATTAATTTTGAAGGCGAAGTTACCTGGGTATCACCAGGTATATTTCGCAGCAGCTGTGCGATGGACATGACTTTATTTCCGTTCGACGAACAGACATGCAAATTGAAGGTGAGCAGCACAGTCGACTATACCGATGATGCGGATGTGATCTTTCAGTTTGGATCTTGGACACATAACGCTTGGAAAATCAACCTGCAGGCTGACCCTGTGGGCTTAGACGCGTCAGAATTTCTTGAAAACGGCGAGTGGATTTTATTATTAGGTATAATTAGCCTTAGAATTATCCTTTTATTTAACCGGTTTTTGTCAGCCACCGCGCGACAGGCTTAAGTCGGCGATCCGTCACTATTTCTTGGTGTTGTGCACTGCCTCCCCTCCCAAGTTGACCAAGCAGCTTCGTCATGAAGTCACCCCGGAATGTTGCTGGATGACTGAGTGGACGTCTGTTGCCGAAGGTGATTCAGTTGATAACTCAAGATGTCCACCGGTTGCCCTCCAGACGAATCTCTTCAACTTGCAGCAGCAGTGAGTACATCCGAAAATCCTTTTCAACGCCAAACTATCTCACTTTGCAAGATGGTCTCGAAAACAGGACCTGCATGTTCTCTTTTCCATCGCCCATTGCATTGCTAATTTCATTTCCTTAGCCTTGATGGTAGACCAGCACTTCGTGCTATAAATCTAGGCAGAGAGAAGGGTGGAACTGAACCGCTTTTCTTCATGGATATCGGCCATGTGTTATCCAGCAGTGATGTTTGAATGTG